TATATATATATATATATATATATATATATATAAGATTTAGAAAAGTTTGGGAGAGCTGTGGCTCTCCTGTCCCTATGAAGATCCGCCACTGAACAAGGGGTCGAAGATAAAAGGAAAAAGTAATAATCATATGCATTAGAATATATAAGAATTTTATATGGAAATGGAAGAAAATTCTAACAATACGATATGAAAAATGAATTTTCACATATATAAGTAAAGTATTTATAAAGTTATATTATTTAAAAAGTGAAAATATTAAAACAAAGTGATGGTGATATATGGAATGCGTGGTGGGACATAGGGGTGGAAACTTACAAGACAAAAATCTTGGGAATCACATGTAATGTAATATAATGTAAGGCATATCAAACAAACAAACCAACTGTCTAATCCCATTTTGATTCTCTTCTTCATCCACCAACCCAACTCAACACCCTTCTCTTCTACGTCTAAAATCTAAAAATTACAAGAGTAGAAGAAGAAGAAGCTTCTGTTCCTACAAGTACAACTATACCATAACCATAACTATAACGTAGCACATATACATGTAGTTGTGTAAACGTAATAATCATAAACCTATTACCCTTCGTTTTACCCAATTTGGTCGCTTTGGTAGGCTTTGATTCCCCGACAAGCTTTGGTGTTCGATCCACACTGTACAATCTGTCACACGCTATTTCAACTCTCCCAACAAGCAAACTACATCCACCCAGCCAAGCACATTCATTTGCCATCTCATTACTTTTAAATGCTATGCCCACAAGGAACCAAAAATGTTTATTATTTTATTTCTGGATTCTTGTACAATTAATGCTACATGTTTATTCCTTGCTTAGAAAAACTGGTGTCTGTTTTTTTTTCTTCTTCTCCTATGTAACAAATATTATATTTTGTTCCTTTGTTTTTTCTCTCTCGAACCAGAGGGTTTGATATATACACAGATGATATCATGATTTCAATTCCCTCTCATCGCAACAAACCAACAATGAGGCATTGTCAAGAGATATCTTGATGGGGTGATGATGATGGATGACTCATGAGAATGGATGGGGCATATTTAAAATTTAAAATAACTAATTAAATTAAAACCATCTCATACGGTTAATTAATGCAGTAATTAGAAATATCATTTCTATAATTTTGTGTTTACAAAGATTTAGATAATAATATAATTAAAGATTTTAAAAAATAATCTTTAATTTGTAATTAAGGTATTTTGATTATAAAAAAAAAAAAAAAACTTCTCTTGAGGCTCTCCTACTAGTTTCCATCATCACTTGGACCCTACCACTGCTTCTATAGGGTCTCTGCCATTTTTGACATGCCCACAGAGTCCCAGACCAAGATATCATTATCGGGATCCTGTCCACTGAAACGTTCCATTGTTATTTATAGATTCCTTTGTTCTTGACAGACACACTACACGCCCATTCTTCACAACAACACCCCCACCCAAAAAAAAAAAAAAAACTTCACTTTTACCCCCCTTTCAGTTTTTCCCGAATTAGTTAGAGTGTGTTGGTTGGATGAAAGAGATAAACCAGAAATAGAAAACAGAAAGGTAGGTGAATAAAAATAAGTATAAAAAAAATAGCCTAAAAATTTAGTTATTTAGTTTAAAAAAATACAAAATAAATAAATTTTTATATAATTTTCTACCATAGAAGAAATTATTACACATGAATATGTTTCAATCAATTGTAATGTTTTGTAATTGATGGACATTTTTTTTTACAGTTTTTAAACTACTTTTGTATGTTTAAAAAATAAAGAAATTATTTGTCACGGTTTCTAACTACTAGAACAAATTTTTTTTTTTTTATATTTTG